AGGGGGATTAGGAAAGTTCAAATGAGCATCGGTTCGCGACCGTACGATTTTGCTTATCAAGTACGATCCCCCGTTGAGTGAAGTGTCGTTTGAGGATGTACACTGACCCTCCGCACGGACCGAGGGAAAGGAGTTGAAAGAAACCCTTATGCGAGTGCTAAGAAGTAGAAATCGCTCTTGCTCGGTCACCGGTAGTAAGAAACAAATCTCAATTGTACTAAATACGACCACTTGGCAACCAAAATCAGAAAGAGAGAAAGACTCTCCTTGTCAGAAAAGGTAGTGATGTGCTTAAAGTTAAAATAAAGTTTGCTAAAAGCTTCCCCCATTAGTTTTTGAGACTCTTGTGCTTAGTTGATTACTTATGATTGATGTGAGTAGGCCAGACTGTCCTTACGAGATATGCACCTCACTTGTGTGGTTAGATTCTCCTAATAACTGTTACACCATAAGTTATTAGTTTCCCACTACCGATGATTGAAATTGAGTGTTGCTAATGTTGTTAGTTGCACCATATTTGAGTCAGTCAATGGTAAAGGGTAGCAAGACCTTGAGTGTGGGGTGAAAGGTATGATCATTAAAGCACATCTCATCCAGCGAGAAAGAAACTAATGATTATTACAAGAGTATAAAGGGTAAATTTCATATATTGATGTTGTGTATTGTGTGTCGTGGGTCTTGTTCCTTGAGCAAAGGTTGTATCTCTGTGGTATGTGTTGTGTTTCTCCAATTATCGTTCTCTTGTCTAAGTCATTGCTTAGGGACAAGCAAGTATTGAGTGTGGGGTTGTGATAATTGTCAAAAACATATTGATTCCTTGTGTTTAAAGTGATTATTTCATGATATGTTTGAGACATAGAAGGCTTGTTTTAAAGCCAATTGACTGTGGAATGGTTGAAAAGCCATTACCATCCTGTGTTAGTATTTTTTATGTGTTTTAGGTGAAGAAAATGAAAAAAATAGCAGCATGGGCAGATTGCCATAGCACAGGCAAATGGGAAAACAAGTACAAGGAAAGCTGAAGAAGACCTACTGGGACCAGGATCGTGAAAGTTGTTGATGGAACACGACCAATCAGCCCACAATAAATAATTGATTGGGCTGCTCCAAGGGGAAGAATTTGCTAGAGACATGGAGCTGGCGGAATAAGTTGGACCATGGGTGATTAAAGGCTAAAGGGAAGAAATTTGTGCCCATCTTATTTGTCCTCTTCTGAAGAGGGATTGGACAATAAGACTTGGACCGGGAGAGAAGCAGTAAATGGGAATTACTTGGACACAAAAACAAAGGGGAAGTAAAAAACAATAACGGAATTAATTGGAGGAGAACAACTAGGAGCAGTGCGGCGAGAGAAGCTTGGCGGCGACTAGGGAGCATGGAACAAGAGAGAACGGTACGCGAGGACAATGTTTTGGGCGAGCGCCGAGGGAGAAAACAACGAGCATCGCGAGCGTTGCAACTTACCACATCGGAGATACAAGGGAAGGAACCCTTGTATATTAGTATCCACCTAGCCCAATTAGTACGAGGCCTTTTGGGGAGGACACCCAAGAGTAAAACCATGCGGGCTTGGCCCAAAGCGAACAATATCGTACTAATGAGCAGTCCAATTATGATAGGTGGTATCAGAGCATGGTTCGGTTTGGGGCGGTGGACATTAGTTTGGTGGACCCTCATTCGGGGACCTCGGACTTTGAGATCTGCATTTGTCTGGCGGGTCAAAGGCGACTCACGTCTATTTGGTGGATCCAGGAGAGATCCACGTTTGGGCTTTGGCGACCATCATCCCTTTCTCTTATTTGTATTATTATGGTTGCCTGAAAATGTTTCTAATTCGTATCTAGCTGTTCCCTTTTGGGATATCTTTGACAAAAAAAATTGTTGGGGATTTCTCGATTCTCGAACGGAAAATTAAAAGAACAATTAACTACTTCTGTTTTGTTTCGAAAAATGAATAAATAATAAGAAAATAGGGTTAATTTGGTCCTTTCTTATAGCATATAACGGTTATTTAAATTAAATGTGGACAGAAGGGTACATTTGTTATGTTGTGATAGATGAATGATATTTTTGTGAAAAAAATGGTACAAGAGCATATTTGTTAACTTATAATGATATAAGGGTATAAAATACTATTAATTCATTAATTTATTAATTGTACCATCATTAATTCATTATCATAGATAGTCTCCATTATCACTATCAGTATCCAGCCCACTAAGTACATCCACGAAATATGGGCTTGGATTTGCTCTTCTCCTGTCCAAATTTTGGTTGACAAGAGCCCAAATCTTAGGGCTCGTTTGGAAGTTGGGATTTCAGATGATGTATTTAGCCAATACATGTAATCAGAAAAATTCATCGTTTTTTTGGCTTAAAATGAAACAGAATGCTTGTATTTGAACAACAGATGGGCCCACCAGAATCATTCATTATGAATGATTGTCAATCTCAACTTTTAGTAGAGATTGTGTTTGAGGGATTGTTGTCTTACTTTTTGTTCCTTATTCTTTGAGGGACCACCAAAATCATTCAATCTCCAAACAATGTATTTTTCAAATTCATACATTGAAACAATGCATCTAATTATAATACATACATTGATTAAATACATCAATTTAGAGAATCCTAACTTCCAAACATGCCCTTAAACTACGGGCTTCTAGTGTATGTGCGTTAGCTACCAAAATCAAAGAGGTCCAAAGAGAATTGGCCAACAAATACCTTGATTTTTTTTGTAAAAAAGCAATCACAAATATTTAATGAGATAATACTTTAGGGAGAAGTTATTTTATTTATTTATGAGTGATATTAGAAAGACAAGAGTTATACAAACAAAACTACCCAGTAACTCCTTATAATCGAAATTCTAATGCAACCACCCAACAAAATCAAAAGACGGTAACTCTAGGAGAGACAAAAGCAGTGCTTTACGCGCCACTCTATGGGCAGCATTGTTGGCGACCCTAGGAACCGCCATAAACTCTATACAAACTGACACAGATTCTAGGATCCGACAACACTCCCCGAGAACCCGATGACCTCCAACTGAAACTTCTAGTACACCATGCTGGAACTAGCTGACGACCACCTTGAAGTCACCATCCACCATCACGTGAGTCAAGGATCTCGAAGCGACTAAGGAAATAGCATCTCTCACTGCTAAGATCTCTGCCAGGTAAGGTTCGACTACTCGTAGACCAGATGCCACTGCCACATGTCCGTCTAAGCCATGGACAACTTTAGGGAGGAGTTAGAGTATTAACTTCATAGGGGTTAGCACAATACAAATCATTCTAATCACCATTCATTAATTTTAAGTAAATATAATGGTGGAAATTAATGAGTTGTATATTTGGTATTTCGTGAAATTAAATTTAATAAAATATTTAAAATATTTTTCTTCAATTAGAGAGGTTTTTTACGTGAAAAATACTACTAGAAAAATACAATCAAAACATACTAGCAATTCTGAGGTCTTATAGTAGTGTTTTATATAAGTATCGTAGTTATTTTATAGTTAGTAGTGTTTTACTGATTTTTAAGTAGTTATTTTGGTGGCTTATAGTAGTGTTCTACCAATTATTAAGTAGTAGTCGTTGCCGACTTTTAGTAAAATCACTACTGGATAATGGAAACCACTATTATAAAATACCTACTATAGAATCACTACTAATATTATTGCTATATCACATTACGTTTGAAAGAAAACCACTACCACACAATTATTGAGGGGAAAAACACTACAAAGGAAGAATTCTAAGAAGAAAACACCACTGGTTTTCCTACCCCGATATTCGGATCTACTACACAAACCCTAAGAAGAAAACACTACTAAATCTGTACTCGTTGGTCACTTCTAGCCAACCAGCCACTTTGCTTTGTCGTTGCCGCCGACCCATCGATTCAAGTCGAATGGTTCCGACCATATCGCCAACGCGGGTGAGCACGATCTCTGTGATCCAGATCTCCCCCTACGACCTCTGCCTCTATAATCTCAACTTCTCCTTCTCTTGAGCGAGTGCCTCTACAAGCATCATCTTCTTCGATTCTCCTCTGCTGTCGACGACAATTGCCTCCGTGAGCATCTTATTCTGTGTTTCTCCTTCGTTGTTGACTACAATCGCCTCTGCAAGCGTCGTATTCTTTGTTTCTTCTCTGTCGCCGACTGTAATCATCTGGCGAGGGCTGTGTTCTTCATTTCTCCTCCGGGTCGATTTATCATTTTCCCCATCAACCGCCGTCTTCTTCGTTTCTCCTTGCTGGAATCGAGTGCGAGAAAGAAGAGGTAGAGAGAAAGAAGGAAGAGTGGAAGAGAAACGTGGGAGAGAAATTATGAGAGGCGGCTGCTGTAGGGTTTGATAAAAAAGAGTTTTTATTTTAATTTATATTAGAGTTTGAGGGATATTTCTTGAACTATCCTCCAATTAATTTTAACACCAGGATTAGTATTATAGTCTAAAAGCTATTAGGTTAGTATGGAGCTAACCCTTAAGGATTAGCATCTTATCTCATCTACAAAACATATAAAGCATATTCATGATTTGAATTTGCTCCATTTTGAAAATGCAGCCCCCAAATTTATTTGAGGGAGGTCATTTCAGTCATTTCACTAATGAACTTAAACGGTGTTGTACGTTTTATTATGGGTAAATTGTAAATTTGGTCACTGGAATAGTGGAATTACTATAAAAGTTTACGTTTGTCACTAATATTAATTTATTCCATCGGTAGTCACTCAAATTAGTTACACAGACCAATTTTGATCACTGGCCGTTAGTCTCCGTTAACTTTTGCTGAGGTGGCAGTCAACTCTCGTAGTTGACCGTTAAATAGGTGACGTGGAAATTTAAAAATTTAAAAATTCCACCTCATTATCATAATAATTAAAAAATAAATAAAACATAAAATTTTAATTATCAAAATGGAAATCCCACCTCATTATCTATTCCACCTCTAAGTAATTTATTTTGATAATTATAATTATTATGATTCATAATTTATTTTGATAATTGCGGCGTTGCGATTGAGCATCCCTTTACACTCTGTCTCTTCCCTTGTTTCAAAATCGGAACAGGGGACTCTGGCAGCTTATTGGCGCAATCCTTGAAGGAATTCAAATAGATCACTCCTACAACTATTGTTGGTGGTAGTAGTGGAGTTGAGGCTTCCGCGACGGAGGCTGCGGCTGAATGAAGGAAGCGAAACGGAAGAAGAAGAGGAAGAAGAAGAAGAAGGAAGATGGGGGAGTTTTTGTTGGATGGATGGTGGTGATAGTGGAAGATTGGTGGAGTTCTGGCGATGGGAGGTTGTTGGGAGACGACAAGCTTGTCCTGGACATGGCGGAATTCTTCTGCGGCGGTGGCGAAATTCGGCTTCCTGGGCTTGCACTTGTCGGTGCAGCAACCCATTGTTGATTTGTTTATTGGGGGAAGTTTGAGAAACACATACTGGGATCATGTGGTGAGATTGGGAGAGGGGGGAAAAGGGGGGGCAAGATCTGGTGACTAAGGGAGATTTCTTAGTCGCATGCCTAAGTGAATCTCAGTCATTCCCATCATTAAAATACAATGGCTATAATTAATCTAATTTAATGAAGGACAAAACAGTAATTTCATTTATTTTTTCATTTTTAATTATTAAATATTTTTCCCTCCGGCTCTTCCCTCCCCACCTCCGTCGCGTCTTTTTATTTTTCCCGGTTGCCGGTGTCCGTCTCATCCCCGTTGCCGGCCAACAACATTATCCCACTGTCAGTTACAGAATGGGAATTCCATCATGCCCAATAATTCCTTCCCACTTTTTATCTTATCCCAGAGAGAGAGAGAGAGAGAGAGAGAGAGAGAGAGAGAGAGAGAGAGAGAGAGAGAGAGAGAGAGAGAGAGAGATTTTCCGACGTCGACAATAATTCGTCGGCGCCGACGAGATTTTCCAACGACAGCGGGAGTTTTGTAATGTTTCTCGTTCTATTTTGTAATATTTGTAAGTCTGGTTTGTGATGTTTACAGACAACTCGGTTTGTATTGTTTGTCATTTTTGTCTATTATGCTTTGTACTGTTTGTCGCTTTATTTTATAATGTTTGTACGTTTTGTTATTTTGTAATGTTTTTCGGGTTTGTTTGTAATGTTTGTAAGCTTTGTTATTTTTGTGAACCATATTTATCATTTTTGTCAACCATGTTAGTAATGTTTTTTATGTCTAAAAAACAACCTGGTTGACTTTTATCCGGAACTCCTCTATATAGGGATGGAGCCTCCAAAGTCAACCTGTGTGTTTTTTCTAGTTTGTATGGATTGTCGGTCTAGTTTGTCATTTTTTTCCACCATGTCGTAATGTTTGTATGTCTAAAAAACAACCGGGTTGACTTTGGGACGAAGACCTATATATAGGGATGGAGCCTCCAAAGTCAACTCGGTTGTTTTTTTCTTTTTTGTATGGTTTGTATTGTTTGTCAGTCTAGTTTGTATTGTTTGTACAGTTCATATGTTTGTATGTTTTGTCGTTGTAGTTTGTACTGTTTTTATGTTTGTATGGTTTGTACTGATAGTAAGTCCGGTTTGTATATTTCGTAATTTTCCATAATACCCAAACTACCCCTGTCATTAATTAAATAGCCCTTTCCACTTTTAACCGTCAGATTACTGTGTCTAGATCTAAGAGCTGGGAGGGAATTAGTCAAATGACTAAGCACCCTCCTTAGTCACCGGATCCTCCCTCAGAAAAAAAGTGGTATGATAATTACTCGCAAACTACCATGATCACTAAAAAGCCCATAAAGCAAATAAACCCAACCCAGGTGGCTCGGAGTGAGGTAGCAGGCGAACGACAAGTGAGGTAGACACGTACTCAACGGAAACAAGACAGGGCACTCGACAGGCATGTACGACGCCCTGACAGACACAGTACGGATATTGACCGAAGTACGAATCTGACTATGCATTTAATGGAAGCCAGAGGCGCCCCTAGGTCGCCCGACAGAGCGTAAGTTGTCCTCACTCCAATGCTCAACTAGTATAAATAGCCATCAATGGTTCACATTTATGGTAACTTCCAACTACTCCATTCTCTCTCTTATTTACTATTCTCTCAATTCTCTCTCTAACTTAGGCATTGGAGGAGGTCCCAGGATCACCCTGAGGACCTTTCTTGTAGGGATTCGGAGACCGCCTTCGACCATCGAAGCCGCTCGAGGCCGTTGGGACTCACAAAACCGCTTGGTACGATCCAAGCACAAACATTTTGGCGCCCACCATGGGGCCCTACGACTTCGTTGCGGAAAAGATGGGAGACGATTTCGAAACACCTCTCAAAGGGATGACAGAGAACAACACCCTCTGAGGCCTATCGCCGAGAGGCGAAGATGAAGTCGAGCTTGAAGAAGTGGTCAAAAGTCAGGGCTTGCATATCGCAAGCATGCAAGACAACCTCTCTCAAATCCTCCAACTTCTAAAGGCCAAGGAAGACACCCCCCCCCCCCCCCCCCCCCGAGGGTTCAAGGGGAAGGGCGCGCGAGGAGAAATAGAAAGCCGTCCATGTCCCAGGAAGCCCTGCTCCGACAGAAGGCAGGGGACCGGACGCAGAAGACATGGATCTCAGCTTCCTCGAAGAGCATCTCCGCTAAACCTATGGGAAGCACAAGAGTCCGAACGTTTTCCAAAACCCCCTGTCGAAGGAACTCTTCAAAACTCCGGTTCCGCCAAACTTCTCCTCAATCGGACTGTCAACCTACAGCGGGACCTCAGATCCCGCAGACCACCTTTGCGCCTTCATGTTAAAGATGCAAATCATCAATGCGTTAGACTCAGATTTGTGTCGGGCGTTCCCCGTCACCTTCAGCGGTCAATGCCGAACATGGTATACCTCCCTTCCAGAAGGGATAATCGAGAGTTTCGAGCAATTTTCTTTGCTCTTCTCCACTAAGTTCGCTTCACAACGACGTCGGAAGCTTACCGTCTCGGCCCTCATAAATTGCAGGCAAAGGAAGGAAGAGTCGCTTGCGGAGTTCTACGACCGATGGAACGCAATCGCCTGCGAAGTGGAAGGCATCTCTTTGGTCGTAGCCACCGGAAATCTCAGAATATCCACGACCAGCATCGAGCTCAAGAGAACCTTGATAAAAAAGGAATCCATGCTGACGTCGTGGTCAGACTTGGATCAGTTGGTGCGGCAAGCAATTTTGCTTGAATAAGTGCTTGCCACAGATGATCGTGGCCAACAGGGACATCCCAGGAACGATCCCTCAGAGCGCACGGACGCACGACGGGGGAGGCGCTCCCCGGAAAGGAAGTCCTACCGTAGTAGATACGCGGAGCGCAACGGAAAAATAGAAGTATTCTCCGCCGACCGAGAAAGAGGAAGAGAAAGACGAAGAGGTGGAAGGAGGCAAGAACCGCCTTCCACTCAGGAACCGCAGGAAGGAAAGAAGTGGTGCGATTGGCACGAAATCACTACTCACGACACATCCAAGTGTAGGGAGTTCAAGGCCATCCTGAGATACTTGGCTCCGGGAGACCTGCGGACCCTCGAAACTCGGCGTTCTCACGAAGACCACTCCCAAGAAATGCGGAAAGGATCTCACAGCCCGGGAGCGGACAAAACAAGAAGGTCTAGGAAGGATAGGTCACGGTCCTCGATCAGGAACAAGGTCGCCTCTTCTCAAATGGAGTCCCCCGCCTATAGAACCCAGCGCAATGACGACGACGGAATGGAAGTCATAACCATCGCGGGGGGGGGGGGGGGGGGGGGGGGGGGGGGGGGGGGGGGGGGGGGGGGGGGGGGGGGGAGGCAGGAAATGCCCAAGGTCCGAAGGACACCGCATTTCTCATTGCCTAAGCGTCCAACGCAGAGTTCCAACCGACGTCGCATTCATCCCAACCGAGCTAGCCAAAGAAGAAAATTCAGAGGACCCCTTGGTCATCTCTTTCAGAACCGCCAAGTTTAAAGTCACTCGCGCCCTCGTAGACAAAGGGAGCTCAGCCGACATCCTTTTCTACTCAGCACTCAAAGGAATGAAGAAAAGCGTGCAAGACCTCAACCCTTCCAACACCGGCCTGGTAAGGTTCTCAGGAACCAAGGTTCGTGTCCTCGGATCAATCACGCTCAAGGTCACCATATGAGAAGGAGGAGTCACGAAGACTAGGCCAGTGGAATTCCACGTAGCAGACTGCCCCTCGGCCTACAATGCCATCCTGGGACGCGACTTCCTCGCGTCCTTTGAGGCGGTCACATCCACATGCCACCAAATGTTGAAATTCCCTAGTGGAGGGCACACAGGCCGTGTCCCGGGCAACATAAAGGAAGCCAAGGAATGCTACCAAGCAACCGTTGAACACCTCGAAGTAGACCTAGTTGATGCAAGAGGATACATACCGCGTCCTGAGGCGGTCAAAGGAGACATAGCAGTTGCCTTAGATGAGGAGCGACCGGACAGAACAGTGCGCATCTCGGCGCATCTCACCACTGAAGAGGCTCAAAAGCTACTTACGCTCCTCAGAGAGTTTCAAGACCTCTTCGCCTGGGGGCCGGAGGATATGCCCGGCGTCCCCCGTAAAGTTTCAGAACACCGGCTCTCCGTCAAGCCCAAGGCGCGACCCATTCAACAACGAAGGAGACACTTGTATCTAGAGAAGCGAATGGCCCTAGAAGAGGAAGTGCGGCGTCTACTTAAGGCTGACTTCATACGGGAAGTGCGATATCCCACCTGGCTCTCAAACCCGGTCTTTGTACGCAAATCTGGAGGCACTTTGAGGATGTGTATCGACTTCACAAGCCTCAACATGGCGTGTCCAAAGGACAAGTATCCCCTTCCCCGCATCGACTAGCTCATTGATGGTACCGCTAACCATGAAGAGCTCAGCTTCCTAGACATGTTCTCCGGCTACCATCAGATCAAAATGGCGGAATGCGACCAAGAGCTGTCCGCATTCATGAAACCCATGGGAAACTTCTGCTATGTAGTCATGCCCTTCGGGTTGAAGAATGCGGGAGCAACCTATCAAAGGATGGTGGATGCGGTTTTCTAGGAACAAATGGGAAGGAGCGTGGAAGCCTACGTCGACGACGTCCTAGTCAAAAGCAAGAAAGCCAACGACCACCTATCCGACCTACGAGAAACCTTCGAGACCTTGCGAAGGAGGAACCCGAGGCTCAACCCCCTAAAATGCGTCTTCGGAGCGGAAGCGGGAAAGTTCCTAGGATTTATGATCACCAAAAGAGGAATTGAAGCAAACCCCAAGCAAATCGAGGTCTTCCTCAACCTGAAGCCGCCAAAAACAATCAAAGAGATCCAAGCGTTCAACGGAAAAATGGCCGCCATCGGAAGGTTCATCCCGCGATCCGCCAACAAGTGCTCTCCTTTCTTCTAGATGCTAAAGAATTTGACATCCAGGCTCCAATGGGGCGTTGAATGCGATAAAGCATTCGCATTTCTTACCAGCCAACTTAGCTCCCCACCTTTCTTGAGCGCCCCCACCCCCAGGGAGCGTCTCTACCTCTACCTAACTATTTCTGAACAGGCCGTGAGCTCAGCCCTGGTGAGAAGGGAGCAAGACGGCACATACAGACCTGTCTACTACGTGAGCAAGGCACCTCTCCCCGCTTAAACAAGGTATATGCCAATTGAGAAGGAGGTCCTGGCAGTGGCTTTCGCGACTAGGAAGTTAAGACCGTATTTCCAGGGGCACCCAGTCACCGTGTTATCCAACCTCCTACTAAAGAGTGTAATGCAAGGAATGGACGCCTCCGGGAGGCTAACTAAGTGGGAAATCAAGCTCAGCGAGTAAAACATTGAGTACACCCCAAGGCCCGCCATCAAGGGCCAGGTACAAGCAGATTTCATTGCCGAGGGATTCTCCCTAGCGGCAACCCCATCGGAGGAGCGCCATCAGGTCTAGCGCCTATTTATCGATGGAGCAGCGGGAAAAGCCGCCTCAGGGGCAGGGATAGTGATAGAATCCCGCGACGGGGTCTTCTATGAAATCTCGCAGAGGTTCAGGGATATCAAGACCAACAATGTCGCGGAATATGAAGCCCTCATCAATGCGCTCAGACTGCTAACCAACATGGGTGCGTCGGATGTGCACATCTTCTCCGACTCGCTCTTGGTGGTGAAACAAGTGCACGAGACATTCGAAATCAAGGACGAAACATTGGTCATGCTCACTAGCAAAGCCATAAGCGCCCTCGCGCAACTGAACTCTTGGAAGCTTGAGCATGTTCCACGTGATGACCATCAACACGTCGATGCGCTGTCAAAGATGGCAACCGCACTGAACTTTGAAGGGGAACGACATGTTACCATCACAAAGAAGGACGACCCGCTGAAGAAATCATGAATATTGGTGACGCCTCAAATTGGAGCACCCCTTTGTGCTAGTATTTGGAGCACGACGTAGCTCCCCAACATCCAACCAAACGAAAGGCGCTCAAGCGAAAGGCGGCCAGGTATACCATAGTGGACGACCACCTACGCAAAAGGTCGTTCTCCGGAACGTACCTAAAGTGCCGACCCGAGATCGCTCGAAAGAATAATCCTCCTACAGGGCTACTATTGGCCAACAATCAAGAGAGACGCATCAGACGTCGTCCAGAAATGTCGCTCCTGCCAAGTGCACGCCTCCAAGCACCATCTCCCCAGCACTGAGCTCCAAGGGGTGGTTGGCCTATGGCCATTCGCTAGTTGGGGGCTCGATCTGTTGGGACCTTTCCCCACCGCTCCTCTCGGAAAGAAGTATCTAGTGGTCGTTGTCGACTATTTCACCAAGTGGATCGAGGCAGAGCCACTAGAGACAATCACGAGCGCGAGGGTCCAAAAGTTTGTGTTTAACAGCATCATAATTTGCTTTGGCATTCCACAGTCGATCGTCACTGACCATGGCACGCAGATCAACTACCGGCCGTTCGAAAACTTTTGTGCGAGAAACCGCATTACATGCACCATTGCATCAGTGGCGTACACCCAGACCAACGGTCAAGCCGAAGCTTCCAACAAGCTGATCCTCCAGGGGTTGAAAAAGCGCCTCTGGTACGCGAAAGGGGCATGGACTACAGAACTCCAGCATATCTTATGGGCGCATCACATGACCCACAAGACAGCCACGGGTGAAACCCCCTTTGCTCTGGCATACGGTTCTGAGGCGGTCGCCCCAGAAGAACTAAACTTACCATCCCTTCGTGTCCAAGCATATGATCCGGAAGCCAATCACAAGAAGCTGCAGGAACAATTGGACATGATAGAGACAAGACGGGATGCGGCTCTCGAACTAATCATAAGCGATAAAGCGAAGGTGGCCTCTTCCTACAACAAGAGAGTGAGGTCGCGGATCCTCGAAGAGGGAGACATGGTCCTCAAGCGTGATTTTCAGAAGAAAGAGGAGCATGGCAAGCTCGCGGCAAATTGGGAAAGCTCCTTCCTTATCGGCGAAAAAACAGGTCCCAACACCTTTCGCCTCGCAACCATGGAGGGAACCCCGGTCTCCAAGACGTGGAACGGCATGCATCTCAGAAAGTACTACTCTGACGCGATCTAGAGTACGTTAGGTTTAAGCAAAGTTATTTTGATGGCCAGGTTAGCATACCCGCCATTTGTAGAAGTGTATTGGTCGTTGCTATGCCACCACTTTTGCTCTAGTAATACACTCATATTTTTTGCCAAAATTTTGGGTCACCGTGCGTCTTTAACAAAATTAATGAGGCACACAAATAGCACCCCACAAATGCGTGAAAACCGCCTTACGACAGGACAACAATGTCCAACATCAACAAGGGGCACTCACTCAGAATACGATCTTCGGACGCACAACACATAGTCCAAAATAATATAAAGTCCACTATCACAGAATAGGTGGGCAAGATGCACAACAATAAAAGGTGCTCATCGCCCCACAAATAAGTCACAATCACTTAGAGAAACTCTAACTCAAAAGATTAAGAGTCTGAAAATGTTTATCTCCCAAATAAAAGACCGTTAAATGGCCTTTTACAAAATACAGGGGCAAAGGAATAATTGAAAGCGACCTCAGACACTTCGCGACCTTTCGCTCCCTTCATCATCATCCTCTGCATCACCTCCTTCATCCTCTTCCCCATCATCAGCCTCCGAATTCACATCGGCATCGGTCCAACCGCCAATCGCGTCCAAAACCAGGTTCGTTTCCCAAACCACGTCAGGCAGCTCCTGACGGAACAAGTGACGGATTGCGGCCACGACGTCGCCGACGATCTTCTGATACTTCGCCCTATCCAGCGCTTGAAACTCAGCCGACCCCACGTAAGCTGGACCTGCCTCGGCCCGAAATGCAGCTAAGTCCGACTCGTGGTTCTCCAGCAATGCGGTCTTGTCAAGCTTGAGGGAGGCCACCTCCTTGCTGAGCGACTCCTGCTCCTCTAGCAGAGTCTTCTCAATCTGCTTAGATTGCTGAAGTTTCGCCTGAAGCTTATCCCGCTCTTCAATAACCGCCTGGTGGGCTTCCTTCTCTGCCACCATTTCCTCCTTTTTCTTTGCCAGCTTCTCCTCAAAACCGCGCTCCAGCGCTGGACGCACCTCCTCCATCAGCGTGGCACACCCTTCAGCCACCCTCTTTTTCAACTTGGCGATCTACACCGTGTTCTCGTCCACGGTCTTTGACAAGCGGTCATTCAACATGTTGATCTGCGAAAACCCGATCTGCGCATGAAAAAGAAAGACAACAGTGAAATAAGGCGCAACTCGCCAAAGGAACCAGCCACGAGTTACCCGAAAACACTCACCGAGAAGAAAAACTGAGAGGCAATCCCAACAAGCCTACGGTTGCACCCTTCCGAGGAAAAAGTGTACTCCAAAGGCATGACCAGGCGGTCGCTAACGGTATGGAAGGCTAGCTCGACGGCCTCGGTGTCGGTGGCGGCTGGTCAGAAGGCTGAGCGGTCTTGCCGCGATGCCCCCCCCCCCCCCCCCGGCTTAGCGGGAGACGCTCCCGCCTAAGCACGCTTGGCGGTCACAAGTGGAACATTAGGCTCCGGAGGCATCTTTCCAGCACCCCACCGTTGAAGCAGCCGCGAGAACCATGTTTCCCATGACCGCCGCCGATGAAGGTGCAGCACCGGTCTTCACCACCTTCACCACCCTCTTCTTCGTCTTAGACCGATTAGCAGCGGCAAGCTCCCTCAGACCTGCAAAAAAGTCTCATAAGTAAAACGTGCTAATATGCACTCTCGGAACCGTTTCTGAAAACCCTCAACGATGCGGGTCACTTGATCCTTCACCGACTACGGGAACTGACTGGAGGCGCACCACGCATCATTGGAACCAACCCCATAGCCAGTAAGCGGCTCTAACTCTCCCGCATACCATTTCCAGGATGGACATGCAAAGAAGTATTCCTTGTACCAGGGTGAATCCAACTTGGGCGCCCCAGTGACAAACCCGACAGAATTCTCCCGCCTCCCAATTGACCAACAGTTGGTCGAGTCGCGAATGTTGTAGATCAGGCAGAAGGCATCAAAAGACGGCTCTTCTTTGAGGCGGTCACATGCCAACCGGTATATCACAGAGTGAAAAATAATGGTAGGTGACAGGCGTCCCAAAGTACAACCAAGCCAGTGCAAAACCCTGGTCAGAATAGGGTCGAGAGGGAAACGCAAACCCAATTTCACTTGTTCAACGTGGATAGGAATCTAACCAATCGGGCAAGACCAGGAGCGACTCACTTCGGAGGGGGTCGCATAATGCCAATCAAGAGGAAGATTAAGCGACTTCAAGCGGTAAAGCACTTGCTCGAGCTTGAAAACCGCTTCATAACTTGGCCCCAAGGCAAACACGTCAGGCGGGACCGATTGACCTCCCCACATCCCCTCATGGAAAAGAACGGTATAAACGGAGTCCTTGATTGCGAGCGGAAGCGGTTCTACGCCCTCTGGCTCCACTATTTCTAATGAGGATGAAGTACTTGGGAGCGCCTCCGAACGCACGCCCTCACATTTGACCGCTTCATCCTCATCCAACGATATACTATCTAAACCTACCCGCTCAATATAACCCATGTTATCCCTAACCGCAGATGAAGTAGCCATACCCCCAGCTGGTACAGGGCGGATGTAAGCAAAAGAGTTATCTAAGTATAAATTGATTCCGACAAGACAATCGTGCAATTGAGAACCACTCCCAATGTATAATTCTAGCTCGGATAAATCCCACACGCACTTAGAGGCGGTTCGAGTGGGAGAAGAGCGGGTCATACCTTATGATACAGGAGCGGCTCCTCCAGAGGGCCCCACATTCTTCTTCGCAGGAGTTGGCGACGACAGCGGAACCCACGAGGCGGTCCGGTTCTTCTCGAGTACCGCCTCCGAGACAATATTGGCGATGGAAGCCTCGCCTGTGGCGGCGGCGACGTCACTCCCCGCGGCGGCGGAAGGAGTCCGTTCTTTGCTCGACATCTTCTAGCACAGAGGAAGCGAACTCCAGGTCCGTCGTGGAAACCCCAATCAACCACCAGAGCGCCGCACGGCGAAAGAGATTGCAAGAAAATCGAAATAGGGCACAAAGTAAGAAGAAGAAGAAGGAAGAAGCAAGAGCGCAGCACGTACGAACCAACAAAGCTTACCTGGGCTAGACCGAGTTTATAAAGCTCGACGATAGGGGAGGCTCCAACTCTGTCGCAGGAGAAGAAAGGAAGGAGACGAAGTGTTTTCCGAAAGAAGAAGCAAAAATGGCGGAAAAAGCTTCCCCATGGCCATTTAAATGAAATTTGGGGTTTCAAACCCGAGGATGACGCTTCGCCTGCCCGTGTCAGGGAACCACTATCGATGCATGCCGCGTGGCATCCGCAAACTCGAGAGAAAGGGCGCGCACGCCCTAAACCGCCCCTCAGACGTTCCCGCTTCATACACTCACGGCCAGAGGCAGACGAGTAATCATGGGTAGGGCAACCCCTAACCGCTTAATGATACTCAGGCAATCAATTAGCCGCGAGAGCCTAAAGCCTCTCACGCCTAAGGGGCAAATGTTGGGCTAATCATTAAGACATATAGGCCTCCAAGCCCATGATCACTGAAAAGCCCATAAAGCAAATAAACCCAACCCAGGTGGCTCGGAGGCGGTCTTTCCTAGTCTCTGAGGAAGACCGCCCGACACGTACTCAACGGAAACAAGACAGGGTGCCCGACAACAGGCATGCACGGCGCCCTGACAGACACAGTACAAATACTGAGCGAAGTACGAATCTGACTATGCATTTAATGGAAGCCAGAAGCCCCCCTAGGTCGCCCGACAGAACGTAAGTTGTCCTCACTCCTATGCTCAACTAGTATAAATACCCATCAATGGATCACATTTATGGTAACTTCCAACTACTCCAGTCTCTCTCTTATCTACTATTCTCTCAATCCTCTCTCTAACTTAGGCATCGGAGGAGGTCCCAGGATCCCCCTGATGACCTTTCTTGCAGGAATTCGGAGACCGACTTCGACCATCGAAGCCGCTCAAGGCCGTTGGGACTCACAAAACCGCTTGGTACGATCCAAGCACAAACAACCTACTTAAACTGAATGTATTTTGAGTTTTTGACGTTTAAATTTAAATACACCTACTTAAACTGAATGTATTGTTTTTTAAAGCAATACACTTAATTTATTTGGTAGCTCCAAAATTAACCAATTAAATTACTTGAAGATGTCAACATTTTTAAGAGGAGCCCCAATAAATGAATCGCTAGAAGTATTTATATTTTCTTAGTGTGTCCTTTCTAAAAGCAGTCCCTTAGGATTTATACAAACACTTTTACTTTTATGGCACTGAATATGTTAGGGTAATTATCATTTTATTTTTTGTAGAAGTAATTATCATTTATTAGTAAAAACTTTCAAAACTTTCAAATTATTAGCCAAAATTTTCAAAATACAAAATAATAGTCAAATGTTAACATCCCGTTAGCAGTTTTGTTAGTAATATTGACTAGACAACATGATATTAACTTGGAAAAGACACGTGTTGGCAATCAACATTCCCAAAGTTTTAGAATTTTAACTAAGAAAAAACTTACAAAATACTAATGATAACAAACAAATTACTAATATTTTGATCCGCTACGAAAAGATTTAGCTAATATTTTGTAAATGAAAGGTTAGCCTAATAATTTAAAAAGTTTTAAAGTTTTGGCTAATAAATTGTAGGGTAAATCTAATTATTAGTCAAACCTTTCCCGCAATTTTTTTATTAGCTAAACCTATTGAATTATTAATAATTAGTCAATTGTTAATTTTCAATTAGCAATTTTGTTAGTAATATTGACTTGACAACATGATACTGACTTGGAAGAGACACATGTAGGTCAACATTCTAAGACTTTAGTATTTTAAATCAGAAAAGAGTTAAAAAATTTATTAACATTAACATAAAAATGGCTAATATTTTGATGCATTATAAAAGATTTGGCTAATTATTACTAATTCAATAGATTTGGCTAATAAAAAAATAATATGAGAAATGTTTGACTAATAATTAGTGTTTACGTATTCACCAAATATGTTTCAAACTCACCGTTGGTTTGAATATATTTACAACGGCCACACTTTCATTGACAAGGAGACACAACTTTGTGAATTTTACAGCATTTATTCCAACATTTCGATGGCATTGGATATGTTTAAAACTTACCAATATCGTATAGGTTTATAGCTGTCAAACTTCCATTGATGAGGGATGTAAATGTAATTGTTATGAGTTTTGCAGGGTTATGATTACACCATTTGAGGAGGCTTCATCTAAGATTTTTGTGTGGTATGGTCATCACCAAGGAGGCAATTTATTGTCCAGCTTAGTATTGTTGATGACTCTGCATAGTGTCACGTCTCATTTATATTCATCAATTGTAGAGCTATATCATGCAGTGTTCCCTCCCAAGAAAAATTACTATTAGGAAAATCACTTCATCAATGCTCTCAAATCCATCCGAGGGAAATCCTTTATTCGGCTGACAGGCCGAGCTGAGTGCTAGTATTGGTGAAAGATGGTATATCATCTACTAGTTTCTTACCCGGCCCGTTGGCCGGAGAGATTTATTTTATAATTTATATTAATTAACTTATTTATATGATTAAATCTTTTTGCATCTTCTAATTATTTTGTGTTCTTATTCATAACAGAGTTTTTAGTATGTCTATATTGAAAATTTACAATATTTAGCACACTCACTTGTGATACTTTGGTTTTTTTAACATAAATTATGGCGCTGTCACGTCCCATTTAGAATTTATTTAAAAATTTGTCAACCAAAACACTAATATTTGGTGTGCGCCAACCCGAACCACACACACACATATCTATATAGTTCAAGCTAGCGTGCGGCAGGAGTACGCTATACTCTTGCATTCACACTACCATACGACTGTTGAGATTTTCTTTTTACACCCCGAATTAACCGAAGTTTTTTGGGGGCATGATATTATACCATAACCTGGTGAACTCCAGTCCATAATTCACTAACCTCTAATTTATGCACATAATTCGTCATACCTATCTTCTATCGTACCTTAAGTAAAATCAAAAGTATAGTATACTTGATATTATATATA